GTTCTGTCACTATGAATTTGTCAATCCTCCAGTGATAGGCAACTACTACTTGTTTTTCAGTACTAGGCTTGTAGTGGGAGCAGGGCTGTTTTCTGTTCTACTGTCCGGGCTTTGTGCTGGGTAGAATTTACCTTGTATCTGTGGTTGGTCTTGAGCAGGAGTTTCTTGCCCCTGCCCTAGTGAGAACCTATCTCTGCTTGTTATAGGAATCATACCTTGGACATGAGAAGATTTTATGTCCCTCCCAAGTGGGTAGCCATCTACCCTTCTGTGTAGCAGTTACCTCTGCATATAATCTAGGGGCCAGAAGGGTTCCTCTCCCTTCACCAGAGCCAGATTGGTTTTGTGTCAGAGGCAGCAGATTTGAACCTGGCCTCTGTGGGAGAAAGGATTTGTTGCTATCTCCTCAAACAGCTTAAAGCTTTTGCTTTGTAAGAGGAAAATGTCCATGGAATTGGTCATGGCTTTGCACCTACCCCCTAGTGGTCATAGATCTCCTCATTCTCCCCTGCACTACAAAGAAGTTTCTTGTCCTTAACCTTTCTGACACATCCAGTGGAGGCCCAAGGAAAGAGCTTCCCATAAATGCAATTTCCCCTTGTGTCTTGTCACCCAACTATTCCATACTACACATTAGCCCACACTAGGCCTTTAACAATTTGTTAAAATTTTAATTGACCTCTTACCCATTTGCATGTAGGCTACAAGTTTTACCTGTGCCCTGCCAAAGGTGAAATGGTTTGCATGTCTCTTCTTTCTTTGGAGGAAGTTATCTCTCTTTAGAATTCAGATTACTTTATTTCCTTGTGACCTCAGGTCTCTGATTCGATCAAGAAAAATTATATTTTTATAGATTATTCAGATTTTGTCTTGTTTGTGTGGGAGGGATATTCTTTGTAACTCTCTATATCCTAACTGAAGGCAGAAGTTTCTAGGAATCAGTGTATTTTTTAAGCTCCTGAGATGATTCTAATGAACAAAAGGATTGAGGAACATTTCTAGGAAAATGGATTTTTATTCTTAAGGATCTACTTTTTAGAACTCCTTTGTGAATATAGAACTGCTTTATGAATCTGCTTTGTAGAACTGCTGTTAGTGTGAGCCTAATTAGAAGCCAATCCTAATTTAGTCTCCCACTATTTTGAAAATAGAACATTTAAAGATTTAAAATAGAGGCTAATCAAGTGAATAGGTTTACCTGCTTCCCTCAGCCAGTACTAGACTTTTTCTGGTCTTGACTACAAATTCTGCTTTCTACTTCTCATGATTGGTTTAATTTTTATCAAAAGGGAAGATATTTACCTAATGGTTTTCACACAAAGGATTGAAGGCTGTAGTCTGATTTTCAGGGATCACTTGTCTACTGAAATTCCAGTTCACCTTGATCTCCATTTAAGACCCTCAGCTAATCTGGACAAGGAAAACATTTAGCAGTAAAAAAATAAAAATAAAAATAAAAATGTATGACCATGTATCTTTCTTATGCATGTGTTTTCCATTGGCAGAATCGCATCGCAAAACGCAGCAGGAAGCTTGTTGACTATGATAGTGCCCGCCACCATTTGGAGGCTTTACAGAGCTCCAAGAGGAAGGATGAGAGTCGAATCTCTAAGGTAGGGATCGATCCCACAGTTGAAATCAATCCATATTCTGTGACCTCTAGCAACTTTGCTTTTAAAAAATAAATATTTCCTTTTTCTCCCCCATTGATTTTTTTTTTTGTTTTTGAGAGAGTGGAAGGGAGCCGGGGGTGGGAGAGAGAGAGAGAAACATTGATGTGAGAGAGACACATCAGTTGGTTGCCTCCCGCACGTGCCCCAGTCAGGGTCAGGGATCAAACCTGCAACCATGGTTCATGCCCTTGCCATGAATTGAATCCACAACCCTTCAGTCCACAGGCCAACACTCTAATCACTGAGCCAAACCGGCCAGGGCTGAAATATTTCCTTTTTAATGGACATTGGAATCAGGACAGAATTTAAACTGAAAGATGGTGCTTATGGGCTGCTTTCCATAACTTTTAATTAAAGATAAGGTTTTTTATGTTATTGTAGAGCTCACATGGGTGACACTGACTCATACATTTTTATCAGAATAATTTTTCCCCCCAACAGTACTGTAGGATCAGAGAAAGTAATAAGTGTTCCTGTACTTCTTTCTGTGCTTGTGGTCCATACTTGATGCTAAAATGCAGATTCAGAAAGGCAACCAAGTTTGAAAATCTCAGACATAATTTGTGATTATTTGAGAGTACAGACATCTGCTAGATTTGCATAACATTCATTTTCTTTTAGAAAACCTATTTCAGTAACTTTTACAGTATAAGTCAGTCATTTACTGATGCCACTTAATTGATGACCCTTGATAACTACTCCCTTCTCTCCCAGTCTTGCTTCCTCCTGTCTGCCTACACACAGCTTCCTGGTCTTTCTGCATCACATATTTAGATGTGTTTCTCACTACTTAAGTCTTTTAATGACTCCCATTGCCTGTAGAAAAATTCTAAATTGCATAGCACAGCATGTACGACCTTCTCTGTTTGGTTGTGACTCACCCATTTATCCTTATCCCACTTCTTTTCTCTCCTTTCCTTCTTCTGTGCACACATCCTAAGCTAGAGCCTCCATGATCTACCTATCAGTTTCTGAGCAGCTATAACATCAGCTGTTCTTCATGTGAGGCCTCATAGCTACATGTTCAACACTTCATCTATATCACCTTTCCTTAACACAACACCTGTCAGGTGGACATTACTATCTCCATTTTATGAATGAGGTATCTGATGTAAAACGTAATATGACAGGTTCACAAGGTTAGCGCATTGAAATTCCAACCCAAGGACCTCTACCTTTATGTATAGCAATGCTTTATCCTCCCGCTTCTTTAGCAAACATTTGCTGATTCTTCAAGATTCAGTTAAAAAATATTAGTTTCTCTCTGGAAACTTTCCGTTCTCTGCACCATCTTCCACAATACCATACTTCATAACAGTTTACAAACCCTATCTTGCAATGTAATTATTTAGACTTCCTACTAGACTGGGAATTTCTTAGGGAAGCATCCATATTCATTATCCAGATCAGAGCAGTGTGTGACAGGCAGTTAACACATTTTTGTAGAATGAATGAATCTGCTGTAAGAGCAACCATTGTAATCAATTCAGTTTTCCTGTTTTAGTAAGACATAATATTTCATATTTATTGGAAAAAATCATGTAGGTATTAAGCAGACTAATTTTTTCCCACCCAAAATGTCTCTGGGATGCCATAAAGCTATTCCTATTTTATATTAAATTATTTAGTTGTGTATAGAAATGGCTTGATCCTATGTGATTTTTTTTTAGTGTAAACACGTGTTATGTGTCATTTCTAGGCAGAAGAGGAATTTCAAAAAGCACAGAAAGTGTTTGAAGAGTTTAATGTTGACTTGCAAGAGGAGTTACCATCTTTATGGTCAAGGTAAAGATGTTTTTGTGCAGGCTGTACTTGTACCTTTTAGAAATTTAAGAACAGCAAATATTCCTTATCTTGTCCATGTTGCCTGTGAAAGTTCAGCGCTGTCAGCGGAAGTGTTCTGTAAGCTATGCTTTCCAATATGGGAGATACTTGCCACATGTGGTTGGCTGTTGAGTACTTGGAATATAGCTGAATTCTAAATTATACTTATTTTGTTTTGATTCATTTAGATTTAAATAACCTCATGTAGCTAGCAGTAACCATATTGGGTGGCACAGTTTTAGACCTCCATATAGTTATCAGGTGGAGACCCAAATCTCAATTAAAGGCATTAGAAGAATTTACTTACCATTGAAGTTTATAAGGATACCCTTTCAGTTCTTGGCAGAACTTCCTTTTTTCCAAGAGCTTATCTAGCCCCTGACTTTGAAGCCAAGCCACTACTTTCAGCCCTGACCTTTTAACCTGAACTTCATCCCTATTTTAGACACTAAGTATTCTTATTTACAAGTACTCTGCTTTTCTTATGGCATTAAGCAAATTTCTCAAGGTGTTAAGTGCATTTTATATTTCTCATGGCATTAAGTGCAGTTTTCCTACTCAGTTGGAGAACCAAGAAGTTGTTGGGTGAAGTGTGGCATATATCTCTCAACTTCCACCAGCATCCCCCATGCTATCAAATAAACAGAATTTTGCTTGCCATGCAAAACTGCTTTAAGTCAAATCCTCTAACCCAACTTCCAACCAGATTGTTGCCCCTAAAACATCCCTATATTGAAATTCTAGACTTCTATTTATCCTCCAAAATTTTAAGAATATTGAGGGTCCAGACTGCAGTTTATCCATTTTTGTGTTCATTCCTAATGCTGTTGATTTTTTTTGTCCACCACAGGCACTCAAAGTTTATTTTTGAACTAGTGAAATAGCTACAGGAAATTTTGGCTAGTTCACCATAAAACTAGCCTGTAGGACATGTCAAATGCAATGTCCAGCCATAACCCAAAATTCAACATGTGTGAAATTAACTCATTGCCCATATGAATTTACTCACTCTTTCAACACCTGCATGTCTCTTTTTGGTACCATCATTCTTGGGCTTTCAGCTTCAAAACTTTGCAGTCATTAACTATGGGACCAAATAATTTTCTCCTTTCAGAGGGGGGCACAATTTTGAGTGATGACAAGATCCATCATATGCAATAGTGAGTTATTGCAGAATGTATATAAATAGGAATACTGGGGTCACAGAGGTCAGAGAATTGGGAGTTTGTTATTTGGTTGCATAGTCATTTGGATGTTGAGATCCATTCTGTTGGTACAAGGATATGGTGAAGGAGAAAGAGTGGGAAACCATCTGGTGTGTGCAACTGTGGATAGTGAGTGGAGTTGGTCAAGGAGGTCAGGGAGGCAGGTAGGGGTTTGGGGGGTGTTGAAAAGATGACCTGTGAAGAGGTTGAATATGTGTCGCATAAATCTCAGAGTTCAGTGTAAGTGAGCTCAGAGGGTTAGGAGAGAACCAGGAGAAAACTCTTGCTTCTTCCACTCCACCCCCATAGTGAGTGATGGCAGAGGATGCTTCCTTCCTGCAGGGGAGACTCAGGGAAAAACCTTGAGCACCCTCAAGGGGAAGCAGACTTCCTTACAGCAGTGCAGAGTGAGAGTGTCCTGGCCTGAAAGCTGTGGCTGTATTAAGCTTAGCTGTTAATCCTAGCCACTGTTTCCAAGAACAAAAAAAATGTCTTAATGAAGAAATTTAGTTGGTCTTGACAACCAACCAGAAGGGGCCTGAGGATGCCTCAGAGACGTCCTTTAGGGAAATGGTAGTCTCTGAGTCACATGTTTATGAAGAACTTGTGAAATAAAATCTCCCAAACAGATAATATCAGAATTCAGAGCTGTATACTCATTATGGATGAGTATTTCACTGCTGGTGACACTAGTTTTTCACAAGCTAAGCTTGCAGTCAGAACATGTCCTTCCAGTTAAAAGAGCACCACATCTGTTCATTCATTGGCACGTTCACTTCCTTATTTGTTTGTTCATTTGTTCATTCATGCATTCATTCATTCATGGAATGTATACTGCATGCCTGCTGTTTACCAGATGCTGTACTAGGTGCTGGGCATATAATAGCGAGGCAGTATCTCTGCTTCTAAGGAGTCTGTGATTTAAAAAATTGGAGAAAGTCACTGAATAATAAATTGCGTCAAAAATATTAAACTCTTTTATTTTTTCTAAATTAAATACTCCTAGTTGATTTAACTTCTAAACTCTAAAAAGAAACCATAAAATTTTAGAAAATTATCGATGTTTGTTTATTCATTCTAAATATTTCTTTCTGGTACTTCCCTAATTATTCATCTAAATAATTATTGATATAAACTGGTTGGTATGCTGTAAATCAGAAGGCTAAATTTAAAGACAGAAGAATGAAGATTCTTATTTTTGATAAATGTATCCAAGGTTCAATATGTTTAATATAAATTCCTTACAAATAATTAAGAATGAAGCAAGAACTAAGAAATAAGTAAAAAAATAATATAGGTGTCTTTAAAAAGGAAAAATACAAATGAGCAGTAAATAAATGAACAAAAAATTGTTAATTTTCTTTAAAGGAATATAAATTTAAAAGTTGGTGACATGCTAACTCTTGTTGATTTTTAAGGAAATAAATGGTAAATCTGTACACAGTTTTAATTCATAGATCTTCATTAGGGCTTGGTTTATCATACTGAAATATCAATGAAAATAAAACGGTACCCACCAATTGACTTCAACTATCCTCTCCCCACATCTGCACCCCTTCCTGTTTAAATCTGACCTGCTCTTCAGGGCAGCCTAAGTTTGTCTTCTCAAATAGATGTTTGCAGGTGGACAGGATTCCTTATTCCCCTCACCTCTCAGTTCCTTTAGCTGTTTCTGTTCAATCTAGTCATTTTTTATATTTAGTCATGTATGACATTTTGTGATAACTTTAACATTCATACACTGTCTTGAAATCTGCTACTTTCCTTTACCAGTATTAATGGAGCATGTGTTCATTAATCAGCCTCCTCTAATGAGATTGTTAGTTCCTGGGGCCATCTTAGCCCACTACTAGGCATGCGCCCAGAATTGGATAAGCCCTTTGTTGAGTAATTGAATGAGGGAAGTTATGAAGAATCACTGACTAGTTGACTGGGGTACTAGAAAAGGGGTCCTGAATTGCCACTTAAAGTGCCCAGGAAAGCTTCTCTGAAAGCAATACAATGAATCACATCCCTCTGCACAGGGTTGTCAGGGCATCTGCAATCTCTCTTCTCCCATGCATCTGTTTCCTTAGTTCCTTCCTCAAATGCAGGTCCAAGCCCTCTCTTTTCCCCTGTCTCAAACATGGCCAGAGGCCACAAATGACCACTGCCTGCAAATAAACACTGTGCTTGGTCTCTGGAAGGTATTCTGTCTCACAGCACAGATCAGTACCACCAGGCTCTGTCTCCCAGGCTTCTGGTCTGACAATCTTCAATACTTACTATTTTCTAAGCACACTATGCCAGGATTTTCTTTATTAATATATGTTTATGTATATTTATATTACTATATTCACACATGTACAGAAACATACATGGTTATATATAATTATATTGCAATTAAAAGAAAAAATATTTGTGAAATTAGGGTAACATGATCACTGTAGACATAGAACATCAAGATTCAGTGAAACATTTGCCTTTCTCTCTCTGGCTTATTTCACTTAGCATGATACTCTCAAGCTCCATCTGTCTTATTGCAAATAGTAGGATTTCCTTTTTCTCATGCATAAATAATATTATATATATATATATATTATATATATAATAATATTATATATATTTATATTTATATATACATACACACAGTAATGTTATATATATTATTATATAAACATAAACACCCCCATATATCTCACATCTTCTTTATCCATTCATCCATTGATGGACACTTGGGTTCTGTCCATATCTTGGCTATTGTGACTAATGCTGCAATTAACATGGGAGTGCTATATCTCTTAGATCCTGTATTATTGGGGTCATATGGTAGTTCTATTTTATATTTTGGGGGGAACCTTTATACTTTTTCCATAGTAGCTGCACCAGTTCACATTCCCACCAACAATGCACAAGAGTTCTCTTTTGTCCACATGCTTGCCAACGCTTGTGATTTCTTATCTTTTTGATGATAGCCATTCTAACAGGTGTGAGGTAATACTGCATGCTATCACTTGTATGTAGAATCTCAAAAAAACAAGCAAGAAAACCTGGCAAACTCATAGAAACAAAGTAGAAAAGTGGATGTCAGGGGCTGGGAGGTGCAGGAAATAGGGAGAGGTTGGTAAAAGGGTACAAACTTCCAGCTATAAGATAAATAAGGTCTGGGGATCTAATGTAAAGCATAGTGACTGTAGTTGGTAACACTGTTATATAATTGAAATTTGCTAAGAGAAGAGAACTTAAAAGTTCTCACCAAAAAAATAAAAAATAAAGTGAGATGATAGATGTGTTAATTAACTAAATGGGGGGATCCTTTCACAATGTACAGGGAGGGCAAAGTAGGTTTACAGTTGTGTGTGCGCAAAACAGAGTATTTTCTTGTATTATTATTTATCAATTATTGTACTTTCCATAAAAACTATTATAAACCTATTTTTGCCCACCCCTGTATATGTAAATCAAGTTACCCCAATGTACACTTTAAATACCTTACGATTTTGTCAATTGTACCTCAGTAAACCTTGGAAACCCAAATAAACTAGTCTTTTCATAAAGTATTGTTTTTTTAAAAAGAAGATTGAGTAGTGAAACATGGTAGAAATTTAAGGTACAGGTTAAGCTATAGAAAAAGCAAGTCTTATTGGTTGGATAGATTTAGCACTCAACTATTTTTCCACCTCTGAGTCTCTAAATTGGAATTCTAGATTTTATTTTGTTAAAATTATTAACCACCTAATTTTATGGGAAGGCACAGAAGTAACAATATTCATGTTTACCCAAAAATTCTCAGCAAATATTTCATGCTTTTCTATTACCTTTTCCTCCTTTTGGGTCCAGATACTGGTTCTCCATTTATTAATTGCATGACCTTGGACAATTAACCTCTCTGTGCCTCAGTTTTCCCGGATATAAAGTGGGGACCACTGCCTCAAGGGTTGTTATGAGAATTAAGTGAGGGAATATATAAAAATCCTGAGATGGCTGCTCTCTCTCTGAGGTTTAATGATGATGGGACAGTGGTCCACCTTTGCTTGCTGGAATCCTACACACCACAGGGTATAGCTAAATCTCAAGAAGCCCCCTTTCACTGTCCTTTCATCTCATTGCTTAAATAAGAAGGGTATCTACTGTGTATAGGGACATTCCTATTTCCCAATAAGTATTCTTATAATAAACTTCCTGAATATATATTTCTTCCACATATTAGGCCTATCTAATGTTTCTGCTATCTAAGTCCTTTCTTGCTCTTGATTGAGATTTGGAATCTAATTAACCAGTTAGGATTCTGGGCTTGTTTTTTAGAGTGTCAGTGAAACAGAAACATGAATGAAATAAAAGTGTAATTTACTCAGGTGGATTCAGAGGGATTGAATTAATATAGAGTCCAAAGAGCCTCATTTAGACCAAAGGGAGCTTATACTGGTGGTACTGGGCTGAATCCACTGGGCTGACTAATGTACATACTGTTAGGGAGCTAAATAGCTGAAGGGACTTTGCTCAGGTCACAGAACACCCCCCCCATGCCTTTGCTTCACAAACATGTTTGAGATATTTGTGAATGGACAACTTGTATTTTTATTTGTTCAATGACAGCACTCTCTTACTTTAGCTGAAGAATTGTAATTAATTTCTAGGCCTTTTATTTGTTTGTGTCACACAGATTTCAGAATCGAAATACACCAAAAGTAGACCATTCCTGTTTTGTAAAAATTGAAAATAGATTTCTCTATTTCAAAATCTTTATAAGATACATATCTGAAATACAAATAAATTCTTAGGGCAGTAGTTCCAAAGTGTTATCTCTGAACCAGTACCATCATCAGTAGCACCTAGAGCTGGTTAGGAATGCAAATTCTGGGTCCTCACCTCTGACCTACTGAATCAGAAACAAACCTCCAGGTGATTCTTAAGCACACTCAGGTGTGAGAACCACTGTCTTAGGGTATTAACACGTTTTAGGAGAGGTGCTTTATGCTAAAAGATGTTATTTTTGTTCATATTTTTTGATCAGGAAAGGTTGGGCATACTTTGGGTTAAATATTTTACTTAACCCAATTTATTCACAATTATGTAAATAAAACCTGTTTTTAATATATTTCACTGCTATTGAAAATACAGTTTTGCTCACTGAGGTATTTCCCTTCAATTCATTCCTCTTTGTGTCTCCACATGGTAGACGAGTTGGATTTTATGTCAATACTTTCAAAAATGTCTCTAGCCTTGAGGCCAAGTTTCATAAGGAAATTGCTGTGGTGAGTAATGATTGTTTTTACGTATGGAATATAAAGTAAATGAACACTTATTCTGGAAGCAAATGAAGTGGCATAGCATTATGCAAAGAATATGCTCACTTGTGTGTTGTTTTTAACAGTGTATTATTACTCTTAGTAATATTTCTACAATTATTTTGTTGTGACCACATAGTTATTTATATCTTGCAAATATTTTAGTGTGTAGGTGTAAAAAAATGCTCTCATGATTCACTGGCTGTTTTTGTTTCTCTTCTGAAGTTATTTTTTTCATTGTCACAGTTTCAGAGTTTTGGTGTTTTTTTTCCAGTCAGTTTTTAATGTTGGAATTTCAAGTGATACTTTAAGCTGAAGAAAAATTTGTCTCCAGATATTCAGATAATCATCAGCTGTGCTCTCCACTGGTATTTTCTCAGTTTAGCAGGTGGATATATGATTTCATTTCTAGTAGAGTCAATGTAAACAATTATTTTTTGTTTTCTGCTCTGTACTCTGGTTAAGAAATATATTTAAAATTTTTAAAGTTATTTATGTTTGTGACCTTTCACTTTTGACATGAATTCTAACTTTTCAATAAAAAAAAACGTTTTGCGGGGCAAAAGCCTGAGCAGGCATCAGAATGACTTGCAGCTAACAGACAAGTGGCCTCTGTCCCCTCAGCTTTGCCACAAACTGTATGAAGTCATGACGAAACTGGGTGACCAGCACGCTGACAAGGCCTTCACCATTCAAGGTGCTCCCAGGTAGGCCTTGTTCATCAGAGACACAATCATGTCCATTCGCCTTAATGCAATGCTTGTTGGAATTTCAGCATATACTATTTTACTCATCCTATAAAAATCTAAAATGAAGGAACCTTTCAATGTAGAGGCAGACACCAGCCTTAGTTCTATGCTTTTTCACATTTACCTTCAGCTTTCACATTTACCCATGGTGGCCTTTTCTCATTGTTACAATAGATTTGACTATCTGCCTCTGTTTTCCACTGAACCTGAGAGCAATGGTATAAATTTTTAACATACAATTTCTAATTGTGCACTTGTTACTTTCTTTGGGGAAGAAAGAAATTCCCCAAACTCACAACAGAGATTTATTGTTGGTGATGACATACTTAAAGAATCCATTTTGAGAAGGAGAAAGTAGAGATCTCACCATCATCTTATCTCCTAACTCCACCTTACAAACACTGCATTGTTTTACTTTTATTGCACATGGTTATTTTGAGTATGCCAGTCAAGTACACCAAAGGCCCAGTGATCTACAGGTGAATTGTCTGCCTTGCCAGGTGATTTAGTTTTACACTAGCTTTCTCCTGTGATTTTGGAATCCCTCTTATTCCATCCTTCTCAGGCATTATATACTCAAGGAATGCAGGCAAGTGAGCCTTGGGCTGGAAGTCCAAGACCCAGCATTTAGTGTTATGACTCTACGTGTAGTTAACATGCATTGCCTTTCTTAAGTCCAAGAGCCTCTCTGGTTAAATATATTATTTTTTCAATTAATTGGGAGAAAAAGATGCTATTGAACTAAACAATTTTAAGGTAATAGGCAGTTGTATCTTCCTATATTTGCAATTTTAAAATCAATGTATGCACTCAAACACACACTTTTATAAAAATTCACATACTCCCACACATGTACCACCATCTCTACCTGTCAGCGTTTGGGTCTTTCTGGAGGTAACTAATATTCTTATTTGTTGCTCTTTGGATTAGCTGTATTCATAGTCTCTGCTGTGGGTGCTGTACTAAGTGGGTATAAAGTGTATCTTCTCCTTCTAAGGGAAAGAATGTTCCCTAAAAGATTCATGAAAGGGGGTAGAACTGCTGTTTCCTATACAGCTAGGAACAAAGTAAGAATTGTAGTATCAAAATGACATTTGAGTGTTTTAGAAATAAAATACATCAGAAAATTTAGGGTTGCTCCCTTATGGAGAGATGAAAGGGACAAATGCATCTGAAAATGTCAAAGTTGCTAAACCAGATAAAATGAAGAGAGTGGGGCCACGGTCATTTAACAAATGTTTCTTTCATTTTTTTTAACATTCCTCTGCATAATGAAGTGGTGAATGGACTCAGTGGGATCTTTCTCAGTTAAGCAAAGACTGGGGCTGTGCTTTCCGACAGAGGCCATGATTGCTGGCACGTAGCCCCAGTCACGTGGTGTGTGTTCTCTCTATAGGACCCATTCCCTTGTAAACCATACTGCTGTGTACATGCTCATTTTATTTTGGGATGCAGTTCCTGTTCCCTCAATCTATAGACTTTTGAGATTCTTAGAGAGCAGGATGTGTCCCAAATGCCCTCTTAACATTAAATTTGGGCTATTCACAAGTACCTGGCCCGGTGCCAGGGATGCAGTGGGTTGTCAGTAAATATTTCTTTCTTTCTTTTTTTTTTAATCTTGACCTGAGGATATTTTTTTCCATTGATATTTTTAGAGAGAATGGAAGGGAGGGAAGAGCGAGAGGGAGAGGGAGAGAAAGAGAGAGAGGGAGAGAGAGAGAGGGAGAGAGAGAGAGAGATTGGTTGCCTCCCACCGGCGTCCCAACCAGGGCCAGGGATTGAGCCTGCAACCAAGGTACGTGCCCTTGACTGGGAATCAAACCCAGGGCCCTTCAGTCCACCAGCCGATGCTCTAACCACTGAGAAAACTGGCCAGGGCTCAGTAAATATTTCTGACTCTGGTCCATGACATAATTTGTTTGCACATTTCAAGGTGCCTGAATTGAACCATTGCTCTTTAAGGTGTGGAAGCAGAAGCAATTAATGAATTGTTTTCCAAATGTTATCAGAAAGCACTCCCACAAAATCTTAATTAACACTATTCTAAAGATGCCTTTTAACATAAGATTTATAATTTTCAAGGTAGGTTTTTCTATAGATTATGACAAAGCAAGATTCTCTGGTAAAAGTGAAATTAGTTCATTTAATTCAGTTTATGTTTGAAAGATTCTTGCAAAACCTGTTTGGCACAGTGGAAAGAACAAGGGTTGAATTCAGATCCAGTAAATTGCCAAGTGACTTTAGAGATTTTTAACCCCTTTGCATGTGTATTGTGGTGGTTAGAGAGAATCTATGAACAGGGTCTGGCACATAGTGGTCAACAAATGGTACTAGTTATTACAGCATTGTTAATAATCACCAGAATTAACCTGGAAAGGGGAATAGATAACAAATAATACATGTTAGGACTCAGGATTTCTATGGGATGGAGGACCCCTGCTAAATAAATACTGCTCCTTCAAAGTCCCCTTGCTTACATCTCGTGCATCATCTAGTGATTCGGGTCCTCTCCGCATTGCAAAGACGCCATCGCCGCCCGAGGAGCCTTCACCCATCCCAAGCCCTACAGCTAGTCCCAATCATACCCTGGCGCCTGCATCTCCTGCACCAGCACGGCCTCGGTCACCTTCCCAGGTAGGAATCAATCAAATATATTGGGGTGACTAGAAGAGCTAGTGGCCAGATGACCCCTTCCGGGATGGTCCTATGGTGCTGGGGCGTTGAAAGGAGTTTTTGGTTGGGGAGACTTTGAGGTGTGAAGCTTTAGGCATTGTGATTGTCACTAAGGAATCAACTCATTTTTCTCATTTGTTTTTTTATTTTCTTGCACACCCCATGCTTGAGTGTTTGTCTCCGCGTCCTCGGGCTCGGGCTCGGGCTTGGGCTCGGGCTCGGGCTCGGGCTCGGGCTCGCCTGCTCTCCTCTCCACCCATCTCTTGCTTCATTTCCTTTCCTTCAGGGCTTCATTTAGTCCTACTTTCTCCATGAAACCTCCCTCCCATAGAGCTTTAGGTGAGATTTGGGGGAAGTACAGCCGAGAAAAGCTGTTCTGCATATGTGGCCATTTCACACTTTTTGTATCACCCAGGCAAATGATTGAAAGAAACAGTAAGGACCAGGGAAAGGTGAATATAGAGAAAGTTTGCTACCTATTTCTTTCCTACTTTGGGTGAAAATGAAATTCCTATGAGAAAACTTGAAGTCTCCAGTTCGGTTCAAGCTTTCATGTGTATGGCTGAAGCTAAGTAAGGAAAGTCCTAGGAAGATATTTGTAACAGACAGACTTCTTTCAAAAATACTGGAGTGGAAAATGAAATGCATGCTGCCTGCTGGTAGTCTCACTGGTTTCAGTGAAAACCTTGCGTGATTTTAATTTTAAAATTTTAGTTTATTGCTGAAGTGAGAAATCATTTTCAGTTTGCTTCAGAGAAGGTATTGACTCAGTGTAACATTAGAAGCACAGGCACCTCCCCTCTGGCCCTGTGTGTAGCTCTTGTGTTGAGGTGAATGGAGCCTCAGAGCCTGAATTTTTCTTATTGAACCAGTGCTTGTCAGTGCTCAGAGAGCCACACAAGCAGCTGGCATTCTTTACCTTAATCAGGTAGGCTTGTTTCTATATGCAGATCTGAATTTTGGTTAGTGATCTCTCTGTCCTCCCAGCTATGTTCACATGAGATTTCTGCATGTCTCACACATCATCTTTGGCTGAATTAACTACTGTTTGTGTTTATTGCCTTACAGACAAGGAAAGGTCCTCCTGTCCCACCTCTGCCTAAAGTCACCCCGACAAAGGAACTACAGCAGGAGAACATCATCAGTTTCTTTGAGGACAACTTTGTTCCAGAAATCAGCGTGACAACACCTTCCCAGGTGAGTGCCTAGTACAGAGGTGGGATGTTCATAAAGTACCATGGTGAAAGGAGTCTCAGGGGTCAGCTCTAAAGAAAGTGGAGATGTTAGAGCCAGCAATATAATTTCAGTTGCCATTCAGGTTTGCTTGTTAGGTCTAAAGCATTTAGCAGTTGAGGCAACTGAAGTGGAGAAAATGTGACTTGTGGACTAGTTCTGAAACAAAGGTGGGGTTCAAGAGTGTTCTTTCTTTAAAAATGTGTTTTTATTTGCAGTTTTCTGGCTCATAGATAAGGATTCTTCATGGTGAGGGAAAAAAAGAGTAGAAGCATTTTTAAAAATTACAAATGCCAGAAGAGGCCTCTAAGTACTTGTACGAGCATCAACTTTTGCTCGTATTTTTGAGTGAACATGATGGGAGAAGTAAGAGTTAGGGGAGTGAGAGAAAGCACCTTTCAAAACGGAACCTTCTCCAGCTACTACTACAGTGAGACAATTAGCTGGCAGAGTGCTTGCCCCAGCACGGCTAGTCTTTGTGCAGACTACAAAGTTGTTGGGAAAGGAGGGAAAGCATCTCTCTCTCAGTACCTTTTATAACTTATTGGCTGTGTGTCACGTCCATCAGCCAGCCAGGCGATTTTGCAAGAACTACCTACCAAAGACATTTTGGGGGTGCAATTTTGGAGTTCAGCTTCCTTCATCTAGTTCTTTTAATATGGGGAGGAGGCAGAAGGGAGTATCTGTCATTTTTTTTCTGAATTTGAGAAGCAACATGGCTCTAGCAGATGGATCATATGGAAGCATTTCCATTGATTCAGTGGCTATTAGTCTCATGCCATGATGTCAGGAGAGGGAGTGAAGCAAGGATTTATATTTCAGTCTACTTTTTAGCTTCTTGAGTGATATAATCTAGTTTTATTTTAAAGTTTAAATACTGCCTTTTCATGAAGCATCTTAACAATTCCCTTAGTTGATTGTTCCTCTGTTGATATAGATATAGCCATTTTATGTTACTTCAGCCCCATCCAGCAGTTTCTGATTCAGCAGACCTGAACTGGGGGCCAAGAATCTGTTTTTCTAACAAGCTCCCAAGTGATGCTGATGCTGCTGGTCTTGAGATCACATGTGAGAACCACTGTTTTACATCAGGATTCCACATGATACAAACTTGTGGCCATGAACAAAGCACCACAGTGAATTAACAGCTTTCTTCCAGGGCAGTATTCAGCTGAGTCAAGTGTATATAATGATTGACCATGTATAATTACTCCATTTAAATATAATGTAACTTTAAATGTTCTATATTTAGATTAGGGCTGTTGGACTTACACACATGTACATGTGTACTTATGATATTAGGTATGTTGATCAGATTATATGTCAAGTTACATAATATATAAGTGAATGGATTGTCTCATCTGGATGATAATGTTTTTAGACATGCACAGAGAAAAGATTATAAAATAAACAGAAATTTCAGGAGAAAATGAGATGCCAACTGCAAAGAGGTAGAGTATTGAAAGCTAGAAAGCTGAGATGTACTGAAAAGGCTTTCTTCCAGATACATATTTTGGAATAATATAGAGTGGCCCATTTGAATTTATTTAATATTTTAAAAATGAGTTATTCTTCAATTCACAGATAGGTTTATGTCCCCAGTTTGCTAATTTTATCATATGCTTTATGGGGAAGAAAGGCATTTGTATTAATCCCACCTAGATGCTCAAAATATAATGGTTAAAATATTCCTCATCTCTGGTGGATTTGCGTGTCTTATACACCAAGGCTATTCACAGTGATAATTCCCTCTTAAATGTGTACTGGGATTGGAAACAGAAATCTGTCAGACCTGAGAGCCCTCGAATGGCCCCAAACCTTAAATATATCATAGAATCTTCTCTGGGAGATATCCTTACTTGCCTACAGGGAAATGCCCGAGTGTCAGGACCAAAGGGCTGATCTTGCTTTTCTGGCTCTGTGTTTACAAAAATGGGACTGCCAAAGGCCAAACCTATTTCCCTCTATTTTTCTGTCCCAAGAACTTAAATTGAAAGAAATTCCGTGTGCGTGTGTGTGGGTGTGTATATGTGTGTGTTCATGTTCCTGCATTGTTCTTTTAAAACAGCATTTTCCATCTAGTCTTATAAGATGCTAGGTTTATGTGACTAGGGGGGCTGCATCCCCTTGTAGTTTTTTTCATGGTTCGTGTCAGCATGTTCAAAGCTCTGAGAACTTCTGCAACAAAAGCCTTGTTTGTTTAAATCAGTTTCTCAAACAGTCTCCCCTGTACCCCAGTGTACCCTGTTCCTGAGAAATGGGTGTTTTGGTGAAACATTTTAAAAGGGAAGATTTAAAAGATTATGATCTTGGGAGCCAAATTTATGGCATATAAATAAGATTTTAACAGGAGAGCAAAATTTAAAAAAAAGCAATCATGTATATATACACATAGATATGTTTCTTTTTTTCTTCAAGAATTGTTTTGGACTCTTTCTATTCTCACTTGATGACTTAACTTTAATTCTAGTGTTCACCCTCCCCTCCTACCAGGGCTTTCCCTAGTGATTGTGGCGCTGAGCAAATATTTCTGGAGGGAGGACTCTGTCCATAGGAACAATTTGAGACACTTTAAAATGAGCATATCGATAACATTCTGGTGGCTAGTGTCATGGGATTCCATAAATGAAATCCCATGCTGGCCATTAGGAGCAATCTGCTCACCACCACACTCTTGGAAGCAAACCTGGCCACCACTTTCCAGGATAACCAGGTGGATATGAGCCCCAGAGGTCCAAGGGCCATACGATGGACCAACAGCATAGGAGGACTTAGAAAATTTCAGGAAGGTCCTCAAACATGTAGGCCCCC